AACTATAAGCAGTAATATTTAAAAAAAAAAAAAAAAAAAAAATATATTACCAGCAATACATTTTTTAAAACAATATTACTAGCTATACATTTTTGAGGGAAAAAAAAATATAGCCAGAAATAGATTTTTCACAAAACAAAATATTACCAGGAAAAAAGTTGTTGGCATTGAGGGTGATATGCCATAAAACAAATTAAACCAAACAAACCAAATATACTTACTATATGAAATAAACAATGAAAAGGAGAAGAAAGAAGTTGTATCTAATTCATAGAAATTAACCCACTTCAAAAATACTGCTTGTTTAATCAGTATTAAAATATTAGATTTACTGTATATTTATACATATAAGGTGACCTTTAGATAAGACGAGGTCAAAAAATCTAGCAAATTTTCGTGAATTTATCCTATACCTGTAGTATAAGACGACTGCTTATTGATTATATAAAGATATTATTGGAAATGCTGGTACATACTGTATCCTTAGAAATAACAAAACTGATTCTATATCATGTTTTTACTAAACATGTCCTCTAAAAGAGAAACCATTTTTTTCTTTGTTTTTTGATCACGTGATCTCTTTCAAATACCAATTCTTCTTCTCCTATATGAAAAATAAAGGTTGTATGTAATCCTAAATTGTGTTATTATTTAACACCAAAATAATAATGAATTTTTAATGCGAAATAAATGTTATCTTAAATGTTATTACTGTCATAATTAACACTACCATGATGATTATTGAAAGTTTAACGAAAGATAATGGTTGCGGTGAACGCAATCATAACTCAATGTTTACATTTTCTCAGCTGGATACAAGTTGATTTCATTGATATGGAATTACTCTTTGAATCAGCATTTTATTATGAAGTTATGTTAATAATATATAAGGTAGAAATAGTCTTATTACTTTTATTATCAGTTTATTTGATAATGTGAATCTTTTCATGTACATTATTGGTTATTGCATCAAGACCGAGGTTATCCTACCGACAAACATCACTCAGAATTTAAGGTTTCTTTTTTAGAATTGTAGTATAAAATGACCCCCAATTTTAAGGGTGATTTTTGGGTTTTAAAGGTCATTTTATATGCAGAATTATACAATTAAATCAGCATTTACTCTGAAGTAGTGTTTGAATTAGAAACATATCTATTTAACACTGTCAGAGATAAATCAAATTATTAAATGAATCTATAAATTTTCTTTCTTAAAATTTCAGAATGAATCAAAATAGCTAAGCAGTTTATTGAAAACTATAATCAATAGAAATTTCTTATTGTAGAAAAAAAAATCTTTTCGTTCTTGTACATCTAATATCTTCACTGTTTTTGCCAATTCATTTTGTTCTGTTCTAAATAAACTTCTCCATTTGAACAATACAAATTTAACTAATTCTGTACCATCAACAAAAGAGTAAGAAGCTTGTGCAGCACCCAGTCCTAATAAGGCAGAAATGTTGAGCTTGAATTAAAAACTAGAAATTAAAAACTTTGTTACCTGATATTAAACACCAGTGACATGCATAAACATATATATTTGATAGAGCTGATAATTGACAAACATGTGAATAAGCAAAATTAATGAAAATTTATGTCAAATTTTATCCTGTTTCTGTTTAGAACCAAGGTTTATTGTCAGAAAAATATTGTTAATACAAAAAGTCTGATTTCTTATACATCTCTAATTAGCTGAAATGATGCACTGTAGCCAGAAATATTGAATAAAAGGTACCCCTAAAATATGTTAACTTAAAAAATGAAACAACAATCTTGGTGATTTACAAATGAATGATATGATTATATGTTGTCTCTGTTTAAGCTCATCTTTTTGTTCTTGTACATCTAATATTTTCACTGTTTTTCTGCCAATTCATTTTGTTTAGGACAACTCCCAATTTTTAAGGGTGATTTTGGGAATTTAAACGTTGTCTTATACACAAAAGTATACAGTACCTAGTTTTGATTAGGTGTGCATTTGTAATGTTTGCTAATTTGTTTATGATTTATTTCTTTATTTTATTTTGTTTATTGTTTTTTATTTTATTTGTTTACTTATTTCATTTTTATTTTCTATTTCTTCCCACATCAGATCTTATCTCAAAATGCAGAAACAAAAACAATGTTTTTCTGTGCTACTTAAAAATCAAAAACTAAAAACAAATATCTTGTAAAACATCAGCAAAAACAATGCAAATATATTCATTATATACAAACATAGATAAGGTAATATACTTTAAACAAAGCAAATAAGATAACCCCCCCCACCCAAGAAAAATAAATAAAAGAAATAGATAATAAACTTTACAAATGCATGCATAAACACAACTTTAAGTAAATTTAATAATAATAAATTACCAAGCATACTATGTTAGTCCAAAATGCAAATTCTGTGATAAATATCCAGAAATAATTGACCATCTTGTATTAGTTAGCACAGTATTGGCACCCACTGAACATAAAACTCAGCATGACAGAGTGGGCCAATATCTGCATTGGAAAATCTGCAGCTTTTACAAAAAGGAAAATCCAAGAAATTGGTATGAACACCACCAGATTTGGTTACAGAGATAGGACCTCTAACAATTTTATGGGACTTTACTATACACAGAAACAGAACAATCAAAGCTAATCATCCAGACATCATGATCAGAGACCACAAAAACAAAATGTACCTTCTTTTTAACATGGCAGTCCCTGCAGACTGTAATGTACCTTTGAAGATCTTCAAAAAAACACTATCAAAATGCAAGGACCTTGAAATCAAAACCTCAAAAATGTGGCATATGCGAACATCAACAACTCCAGTGGTAGTTGGAACCCTTGGATTGATTGGAAAAGATTCGAATAGACTCATTGAAGGGATTCCTGTTAGCCTAGACCTTAAAAAAAATACAAAAAATTGTACTCACAAGTACAGCCCGCATCTTATGAAGGGCTTTATCTATGTAAAATGTGTGCAATTTTTTTTCTTTACCTTCCTCAGAAATGTTCAGTGGAAAATGTCATGATGCCATTTCTGACCTTAGGTCTCTGGTTGGGACCCAGAAAGAAATGAGTATATGCCAGAAATCAAAGGAAATAATAATGATAACCAATAGAGAATAATTAATGAATAAATACAAAACATCCTAAAATAATAACTAAAAGATTAACAAACAACCTTATAAAATAATTGCATTCTGGTCCACAATTATTTCTACTTGGTAGCCTTTAGAATAATTTAAGATATAACTGATCTCACCTATCCATTAATAGAATAAAACAATAAACCAGAAATACCAGACCTTGCTAACCATAATGCCCCACTGACCAGCATATATAAATAGTCAAGCTACCACCCAACACACATGGCCTGAAGATTGAATTCAAGCATAAAGCACACTATCGCCACTCGGTGTTGACCTCAGTGTCAACTCTTTTTATATAATCTAATAATATACAAATAGATAAATATATATAATTGTTTTTTTTGTTTTTTTTGTCATGTATATTTTTCACTTGTATCAGATTTTAGTGTTCAAGCCAAAGCAAAAAGCCAAAATTTCAAATGCTGATTTCCTAAGCAGCTAAAAAGGACATTTCAAAACCAACTTCGTTTACCTATTCCTCACTTCCCTCCACCATTTGGCTTCTTTTTTTTTCTTTTTTTTACTAGATGCATATTACATACTGTTCAATTATGTATATAAAGCAAAATTTCAAGACCTACTTTTTGAAAGAAAGGAAAGCGCCTTCATTCTCAGTTTTGATGATTGGTACAACCTATTGCTATTATTTTAATTAGATTATCATTTCATCAACAGTCCTAACCTGGTATCTTAATTTCAATCACTTTCCCACTACTATAATGTAACTTCCCTGTGCTCTTTCTATAAATATTTTTTTTTTTTTTTTGCAATTGTTCTAATGAGCTTTATTCTTTGGTACTTTGACTTCATGAATTTAAATGCAGTACTAGATTGGCAGCTAGGTCTCATCATCTTACTTTTGAAATTTCTAAATGTAACCATAACTTCTATTTTAATACTTCCTTCTCTTCCACTTAAAGAACTCTCTTCTAGTTTTTTTCTTCCTCTCGACAAATGGGACATTTTAAAAAATGATACATTAACTGCGTTGGTTGTCCACCATAACAAGACTGACCGCAATTTTGACATAAAAAATGCTAATCTGATTAAACAAGAAAATAATTCACTACAACGTAAATGTTTAGAGAGTGCCTTAATTGCAAGGCCATCTACAGTAAATTTGTGCCCTGGCTCTTAGAATATTTCACCATCCCTAGCAGATCTAATATCACAGCAATGAAAAGAAAAAGACTCTTAAATGAATTCGGCTGAAAGAAAAAAAAAAAAAAATCCTAAAATTCCCAGTACCTCTATGTGGTGGGCATAGTCCTACCAATATAACAAGTTTAGTCTGAAATCCTGAAAGACAAAATGCATAACAAGTAAACTTTTTCCACTTTGTCATACAATTTCCCCAATTCCTGTCAACTACAATCTACAAAAATTTAAATGCAACATCATCATCATCTATTTAGTTGTATCCTGTCTTTTTTTATTGTCCTTTTTCCTCAGTAATGTTTTCTTAGTTTCTTTCACTCTATTGTCTTTCATCCTCAGTAACTTTTGCATCTCGGTGGCTTTATTATCTTGCTTAAAGGCCATTAAAGAATTTAAAAAAAAAAAAAAATCAACATTATTAAATCTTTATATCTCTCAGTTTAATTTTATGTTTAATTTTTAAATTTTACTTTGCCTTTTTTTTTTATTTATCTATTTTTTTGCTTTTTTTTAAAAAATTTTTTTAATTAATTTCTTTTTTGTCTTTTTCAGAGACAAAGTTCTCTGGGCAAGGAGTTCCAGTTACAGCTGGATCAAGCACGCCAGTCAGTGAGCGACCTTTCACTGAGCGAACAGGAAATGGATAGCATGAAGCAAGAGCAAGATAAACAGGGCAAGGAAATCCTGATTCTGCGTAAAACTGTTGAGGAGATGGAAATCCGGATTGCAACACAGAAACAGACACTGGCTGCCAGAGACGAGAGCATAAAAAAATTGCTGGAAATGTTACAAAGCAAAGGTCTCGGTGTCAAGCAACTCTATGCTGATCGTGTGGAGATAGAGACCTTCCGTAATATGGCCTTAGAAGAAGAGAAGAAGCGAAAACAGCTGGAATCGGTGCTTGAAGAAAAAGCCAAAGAAGTTGCCAAGATGAGGGAGGTTTGTATTTGTTTTTAGGTCATCATTTTACGTACCATTATATTTATTTACAATTGTATAACATGACATTTCTCTTTACTATGGCTTCTTCTATTGACATTTTTGTTGCAATGGGAGAAATAAGCAATAATTAATATATTTTACTTGGGAATAAATTTTATTTACAACTTTAAATAATGATTCATCTATATAGAAATTTTTTTTTTTTTTTCATCCACTTGAGGTAGAAGGTTTTTATGGAGATATGTGAGAAAGATAACGATAAATGCTAGATTTGAAGAAGTTAAGATTTTTTATCATTTCACTCCAAGCAAGGCAATAAATCCACTAAGACGCAAGAGGATATGAGAAAAAAAAACACTATTAGTGAGAGAGGACAATAAAAGAACAGGAATTAAGAAAACAAGATAACGATACTGCATTTACATTTTTGAAGATTAAAATTGACTGGAAAGTAAGAAGCCAGAAGAGAGTTCCACTAGAAAGAAGTGTGATTATATATATATATATATATATATATATTAGCATAGAATGTACAGTTAAATCCATCCATTTCAACTGTAAAATGATGAGACCTTGCTGCCATCTTCTAAGCTTAAATTCATCAAGTCTAGGTATCAATGAGGAAAGTTCATCAGAACAATTACTACAAAAGTATTTATAGAAAAGGTACAGGAAAGCTACATTATAACAATGAGAAAGTGACTGAAGTCGAGATGCCAGGTCAGGACCAATAACATTGCATATTTTTCTTTTGGATTTTATCAAGAATCTCTAAACATATAGTAGGAGCACCAGAGTAGATGTGGCAACAATATTCAAATAAAGGATTTGTAGTGATGAGGGGAAACATCACTTTGGAAGCTGTTTCCACAAAGCAGATGTTCGTGGGAAGAAGCTGCTCAAGTGGAACTTACATCTCACCAATGGAATACAAAGGAAATAGGAGCGTGGTTCACTACGATGTGCATAGGGCATGACATGTCTTAAGCATGAAGGTTAGAACTGGTGGAACTAATGAATGTTGTTCATCTGTCCATCCTATAAAACCATCCTGTGACATCATTGTCTGGGAAAGGGGTTGTAGGATGGAAAATATTTCATCACCCACAATGATGCAGAGATGCTTTTGGATTCTGTCAAGACTGGAAAATGAAGCAAAAAAATACAGCCCATATACGACGGCAGTATTTTGAGCCTGATCTGGTTCTTGTAGAGGATAGCAGGAGGAGCCAGGTACTTACTGGAGCAGCACAAGGAACCGACCACTTTAACATCTTTAGTGATGGATTGTATATGTATGGATTCTACTTGAGACCTGGGTTGAGCTTAAGTACCAAAAAGTGTTCAAGTCATGGAGCCTCCCTGAGACTATACTTATTCATAAGGTAAAAAAAAATTCAGGGTCCAGTTGGTGATGATGGAACATCACTAGTTTAGTTTTTGAGGCATTGAATGTGATTAGCCAGTTTTTTTCTCCTACTGAGCTGTTAGAGCTAGATCAGAGGAGAGATCAGCTGCCAATCTCTGGTTATCTAGAGTTTTGGAGCTACAGCTATATACCATTGTATCATCAGCATAGATAGTCACAAATGGTCAGGGTATACTCATAGGCAGATCATTTATGTCAAGTAGAAAGAGGGCTGCATTGATCACTTAAATGGTAATATTTTCATTTAAGAATTTCCCAAAAGACAATTCTTTCATTTGTGTGCCATCCCCCTTAAGAACATGGATGATCATGACTCTCCATAACTTCCTAATTTTAGTAGCTTGAAGTAATGCTTCTCCCCTTACTCTCCCTCTCAGTCCCTCTTTTGCCATCTATTTACACAAGCTCATTAAGTAGGTTACTTGCTGTTTCCTTCTGCCTCTCCTGTGAGTATCAAATTCTCCAAGTCTTCTTTCCTCATTGTCTTTTCTTTATATATGAGGACAATTGGCTGTTCCATAATAGTTCATCCCACTTTTCTTTGTCTCTGATCTGATTTATATCTCCCCTCCCACCCCTGCCAAAAAAAGAAAAAACAATTATTTCATCTGAAGAACTATTTGAATGTTAATGAACCTTGTCAAAACTGTAGAAAATGACAAAATATTTCTTGTTTGGGGTGTGGGAATTCTTATGTCTTATCCAGAAATGTGATTCAGTTATTCTCATTTAATCTCCTGTTTTTATATATATATATGCCCCTTAAAAAAATTAAATTTTGTTGAGTACTTTAGAGGGATAGCACAAATTTGTAAACTATGACTGTTACTAATGATGATGCAAGGCTCTTCTATGAATCAAGTACTCTGAGTCATTGGCATGTTTATTCAAAAAATAAATACTTAAAAATTCACTATTCTCTCTGCCAGAAGCTGATAGCTTAGGGGAAAAATCGACTGACGTCAAATCAGTTATTTAATCCTGGCTTTTTTTTTTTTTCTGCTGAGCTGTGATACAGTATGTCTGTGGATGACAATATATATTGCAAGGAATAGATACAAATTATTTCCTAAAGGCATTATGAAAAATAAAAAATAAGAGATGATATTACAGAACAGACTAACGGTTTTGGTTCCCAAGCTCATGGTCTAGCTGGGAACAATTTAACAATTATTATATATATATATTGACTCATACAAACACCCTACATACAATTAAAACATTAAAAAATGAAATGATTAATAGTATGAGAGTGAAAAAAAAAAAAATGTATATAATATATATATATATATTTCAAAAAGTGAATATGCACAACAAAAGGGGAATTATGGGGGGATGAGGAATAAAGGATAGACACTAGAGTCTAATAACGTGAAGCCCAAGGAGACAGTCTCTTTGCTTACAAAGAGAGGGCTCCCTGGACCCGAATATACAGAGACTCCAGTGCCCTCAAATGAAATGGGAGTAAACTGGACAGACAGTAAACCAATTGGATTGAAATTCTTGGCATAATCCCTGCAATTTATTAAATGTTCAGTGATAGCTGACCGGAAGTATTAACCAACTGGCTCTTTACGAGCATTTGAATTAAGAACTTCATAATGGGACATGCTGCCTGGATCCTACAATCTAAGCGTTGGAAGTCCTTCCTATGTAGTTGCTACTGCAACTACATAAAAAAGAAATAAATCACGGAAGAAACATGATGGGAGGAAGAGGATCCTTACGCATAGAGGAAAAAGGCAGAATGAGTTGCAAAATGAATCCTTAGTTGAGCAGAAAAATAGCAGTGATGGACAGCAGACAAAACCGCCTAGCCACAAGCTCGCCCCAATAAAATAAAAGGAAGCCGCAAATAACAGGACATTTCTGAACTAAGTATTGTTTTTCCTTTCGAAAATTAATAATTTTATCACGCATGGCATTTATCAAGAGTATCACTAGGATATCCATTTTTTTTTTTTTTTTTTTTTAATAGAGTGCAGCGGATAAAATCCAATTCTTCATCCAAATATTGTTGCTGCAGATCATCAAGGCCCTATGAGTGAAGGTCTTGATGAGATTGATTTTACGCTTTCTGGGACAAAATGAGTCCCTCTGGCATTATACAGACCAGAAAACGTTGGTTTGCAAAACACCAAAGTAAAAAATTGAGAAGGAGTCCGATGCACAAGGACATCAAGAAAAAGAGACAAGAATTAGACTCCTTTTCCATGGTAAATTTCAAAAGATGGATGAAGTTGATTCATAACTGTGAGAAAGGAATCAGCTTCCACTTCACTATTAAAAAAGACAAAATGTATCGTCTACATACCGGCGGTACATAGACGGTGCATTGTCATAAGTGAGGAGGGATGACTCATAAAAGCCGACAAAAATGTTGGCCAAAGCGGGACCCAGTGGGGGAGCCCATAGCAACCCCATCAATCTGTCTGTACATAAAATTATTAAAGCTAAACTCAACAGACATGGTAGCGCAATTGCATAAGCTCAGCAAACACATTTTCTGGGATATCCGGAGGTGACAAACTAATTTGATATAACATGTTACAACAAATATCAATAGTTTCCATTACTGGAACACCAGAAAAACAAAGAAAATACGTCAAAGGAACACATAAATTTATTTTTAGAAGGAGTATCACGAATAACCTGAATAAATGAAAAAGAATCTTTGATAGTATAAGCTAAAATGTTCAACAACAGATTCAAGAAGGTCAGAAAGAAAAACTTAGCAACCTTTTGTTGAGATGAGCCTGACATGGACAGGATGGGTGAAGGGTACATCATCCTTATGAGTCTTAGGAAGACCATATAAATGAGGGCGAATAGACCCAACAGGTCTAATATCATAGTGACTTCACGGGATATGAAACCACATTTTAGCCCAAGATAAGAGTTTCTTTTGAAATTTAATTTCTATTGGGAATTGTGCGATCATGTGTCTCTCTACAGAGGAAGAAATTTTGTAAGCGTCACCAAGAATGCTTTGCATTTTGGAAACATAATCAGAATGGTCCAATAGGACAATACCAGCCCTTTATCAAGACGAGTAATAACCAAGTTATTATTTGCTTTAAAGTCCCTGACCTCGGAACGGTGCTGTTGACTCCACTTAGACTCAGAAGGGCTACAGGAGTTAAGCATAAGTATGTGCCAAACTATTAAGAGTAGCCTTAAGATTAGAAAGTGAGTCAGAAGAGCGAGGCACAAGTCTGCACAACTGAGAAGATATATATATATATATATATATTTTTTTTTTGCCTATCTCCTTTGAATATTTTTTCAGGTAGCATGTTTTGAAATAACTTTTTAATACTCACAATTCTATATCACCGTCCACAATTTTCTGTTTAGTTGCTTATCACCCACCCAACAGTTGAAACCACCCACTGGTGGGCAATATCACCTAGGTTGAGAAACTCTGTTTTAAGTGAATTATCTGTTTCAGTGTTGCTTTTAAGACAGGTGTCCATTTATGAAGGTTGGGAATCCCTGATCTAAATGTTGTAGATCTTTCTAAAGATTTTGCATTGATGAAAACATTTTTTTTAAATACAAATTTTGT